AGAGAGCGAGAGAGCGCGCGCTCTCTCTCTCTCTTTTTTTCACTCACTCACTCGTTCATTTTTATTAATAAAAAAAATAATAGAAATAAAAATACTACATTCTCTCTCTCTCTATCTTTATTTTTTTATATATATATAAATATATATATGTATATTTATATATTTTATATATATATATTATTTATATATATATATATATATATATATATATATATATATATATATATATATATATATATATATATTTAATTTATTATGATAATAACATTTATATATTAAATTAATAATAATTCATTTATATTTTAATTAATATTTAACAAAATAAAGATAAAGCTTGTTAAAATGTAGTATTTTTATTACAATTATTTTAATTATTAATAAAAATGAACGATTGAATGAATGAACAAAAGACATTTCTAAGAAAATGTAGTTTGATTTTTAACTTATACTCTGGCACGTGTGTTTTCCAGCAGATGCCCTTCCTGCCACAAGCCCATATAAATGATGAACAGAATTGGTGACAAAGGCCCTGCTCGAGTCCAACATGAACTGGAAACAAGTCTGACTTATTGCCGGCAATGCGAACCAAACTCCTACTTTGTTCATACAGCCCTTAACAGAGCGCCTCTGACCCCATGCTCCCAGAACACCCTCCATAGAATGCCACAAGGGACACAATCGTATGCCTTCTCCAAGTCCACAAAACACATGTGGACTGGTTGGGCACACTCCCATGAACCTTGGAGCACCCTACTGAGGGTATAGAGCTGATCCAGTGTACCACGGCCTGGACGAAAACTGCATTGTTCCTCCTGAATCCTAGATCCAAACATGGACCTGATCCTCCTCTCCAGTACCCTGGCATAAACTTTCCCTGAGAGGCTGAGGAGTGTGATCCCCCTATAGTTGGAGCACACACCCTCCGGTCCCCCTTCTTAAAAATGGGAACCACCACGCCCAGTTGCCCAGTCCAAATTTACTGTCCCTGACCTCCATGCGATTATTATAAAGACGTGTCAGCCAAGACAGCCCCACAACATCTAGAGACGTAAGCATTTGCTGCCAATTTAAATGTGACTTTTGTTCCTCTAAGTGTAATTTAATACTAAACATATGTTGTTTATACCGAGAATACTACAAAAAAAAGATTGTTTTATTTAAAATCTGTATGCTGTGTACAACTCTGAGCATCTTTTTTCAAGCACAGTGGAGACATCAGTGCAGTGTGGACGAGGAGTGTTTGCATTTGAGGACGCTGTGTTAAAAGGAGCATGCACTAGTATAAACAGAGCCTGAAATGCGTGCGCGCGCGCGCACACACACACACACACACACACACACACACACACACACACACACACACACACACACACACACACACACACACACACACACACACACACACTGAGAGAGCTGGTGTGCAGGTTTAAAATTACAGCCGTTTCACTTCCTCTTATCAGGGCATTGATTGCCATCAGCTGATGGTTTCCCATGAGCCACCGGACACAGCACTGAAATACTGCATGTGTCAGCCATACACAGACACTATATTAGACTCTGTGGCAGAGCAGACTGACTGGTGTTGCTGTTTCACTATCGCTCACATCAGTTTATAGTTGCTGTAAATATTTTGAAATTGTTTATTAATATAATATATATTTTAATATATTAATATATATTTTATTATATATTTTTATTTTTTTATTTATTCGTTTATTTATTTATTTATTGATTGATTGATTTATTTATTTATTAATTTATTCATTTATTTATTCGTTAATTTATTTATTTATTTATTTATTTATTTATTTACTTATTTATTTATTTATTTATTTATTTATTTATTTATTTATTTATTTATTTATTCGTTTATTTATTTATTTATTTATTTATTTATTTGTTTGTTTATTTATTTAATTTATTTATTTATTTAGTTATTCGTTTATTTATTTATTTATTTTTTTATTTATTAATTTATTCATTCATTTATTTATTTATTAATTTATTAATTAATTAATTAATTAATTTATTTATTTATTTATTTATTTATTTATTTATTTATTTATTTATTTGTTTGTTTATTTGTTTATTTATTTATTTATTTATTTATGCCCTCAGTCTGTGTCTACTTTGTCTACAGTGAAATGCAAGCCCTAAGTTTTAGTCTCGGTTTTAGTTTTAGAATCAGTTTAACATGGAAATTCACTATAACGTAGACTCAGTCTGTAAATCCATAAATGCATTGCATCGGGGTTATTTCCAGACAGACTCAGACTTCAGCTTCTAGACACATCCATCCTGTGGTCTGCTTGATTTTTTTTTTTGGGTAATCATAATTCATAAGCTGTGCTCTTCACAGTGCCATGTGCCCATCATTCACAGGATCTCTTTTTAGATCCTCAGCTTGTGGCATTTCAGAAACAGTCCAGAAAACAGTCCAGGAAAAGACAGCGCTTTCACAGGTTTCATCCCTTTCTCTGTTATGCAGATACAAGAATGAGAAGGTCTGAACACTGTTAGTGAGTGTTTGACTTTAAATCAAACATCTGTGGTTGTTTACTCACCCTGATGCTTTCCAAACCCTTATAATCTGCTTTTGTGTCTCGTGGAAGAAAGAAAATCATAAGGGCTGGGAAGAACATGAGGGCGAGTAAATAATAACAGTGTTATTGTTTATAGGTGGACTGGCCCTTTAAGAGAGAGAGAGAGATACACATATATAGTTGAAGTGTCTCGTTATAATTTTTCCCCAATTTCTGTTTAACGGAAAGATTTCTTTCAGCACATTTCTAAACATAATAGTTTTAATAGCTCATTTCTAATAACTGATTTATTTTATCTTAGCACATAATATTTTATTAGACACTTTTCAAGATACTCGCATTCAGCTTAAATGCCAGTGAAGCGCATTGAAATGAATTGGGAAGGAGAGAGAGAGAGGGGAAGATGGGTGTAGAGTTTTTGAGATGTACTGTAAGTGTTTTATGGTTGGACCTTTG